ACTCCCAAACCAGGGAACTGATGCCCAGCGTCCAGTAACATGCTTTCGTTGAGCAAAACCAATTTTCTTTCAAGCAGTCTATGCGCGGCGCTTCAACAAAACATGTAACAAAATAAAATCGAATGAGCTACAGGAATATTAACTTCCAGATTTGAGAACACGACATGAGGTGATGAAGTTCGATCCGCTCATAGGGAAAAAAAGCTTTGCGTGTTAAGTTAGACTATATTTTTCGTGTGGATAACTTGTTACTCAAAATCCCCAATGCAGCGAAATGAAAAGATTCCTTTGCGCGTTTCCTTTGAAACTGAGTCGATGTCGTAATTTTCGGATTACACGAAAATACGAGTTATTATCTTACTGAGTCTTCCTTGTTCTTGAAGCATCTCGAATTGGAATGTTTATTTCTTTCGCTTGTCTATGTTTATCTCGGAGGGTCCCTCTTTCTCAGTGGACTGGCACTACCTCCTCTTACGCCCCCTTTAACTGGAGCCCGGTCATTCATTTGACGCACTCTCATTGGCCGCCGCTCCTCATCAATCCTAGGTGCCCCTCCAATCGAACGCACTCCTTTGGCAACTAATCGCTGATCGCCATCTTCCACCGACAATTACCGCCTACTTTTCGGAGAACCTTTCGGGGAATAGGTAGAAGGAGAGCAAAAATACTCGCGTTTAATCAGACCGCTTAAAAAATCTAAATCACTTGCCGCGCGGGCTCATAAGAGTAAGTGTAACCCATCATTCTTTGATGAACTTCGCCACTTCAGTTTGTATAATTATTTAATGGCTTAAAATGTGCAGGATATTTTGGTTATAGCGAAATCTAGTAAGCTACTTTTGCATAGTGTAGGCTAATCCAACAATCAGACAGGGTTAACGTGAATGAAAAACAAACTCTCAAACCTCACTCGAGGTGCCTTGACTCAATCTGCACGTGAGTATGACAACACATTATGATGAATTAAAACACTAGTTCGCATCCAGTTTGTAGCCTATATGTGGTGGTCAGCATTTGAATAAAGGACGTGATCGTGTCTCCCTGAGTGTTGATGAACACATCAACAACAAACAAAGGTGTATTAATATATAGCTACATATAACATTATCCTATTGAGATATAAAGTAGCCTACTAAAAATAGATTAATTGACATGAAAAATAAGAGGAGTGTTGTCGGCAATGTATAAAGCATCGTCATTGCCATCAACATCATCTTTACATTAAATACTTTAATTAATTTACTGCATTAAAAACGCACTAATTCGTAGCTAACACCAAAACGCTGTTAGACCGACTCTGAAACATAGTGTTTCCTCTATAACAGAACCATAAACTTCACGTAAGGTTTGAAACAGTAAATACAACAACAGTATAAATTAGAGAATTCTTGTAAGCTAGGGTACCATCTACATTTTTCCTATCACTAAGCCTTATTTTTAGGCACATCTAATGCGCACACAGAGTATTCTAAATATTTGAGCACATACAAGAACAAAATTTCATTTTAATGTATTTAGATGAGATTACATTCCCATGTCAAAAAACACAATATGATATACCTTTAATTAAACAAAATAAATCAATAATTTGTGACGTCACGGACCGAGAGCCTGGTCTTTCTGTGTGAATAAATCAGGGAATCTGCATTATTTAAGTTTCGCGGCATTTTGTGGTTGCGGAACAGGCGTATATGCGAGCGTTTCCTAGCCTATGTAGACTACACTGTACACTCCCTGACAATAACCAAACCGTCCAACTGAAGTTATCCTAGCATGGGGTTACTGCATTACGGATTCCAGGCCAATGTACATAAGCCAATCCAGGGACCATTTCTGATCTAAGAACACGTCCTACGTGCAGCATTCGAGCGTTTATTTAAATGTTAACATTCAGTTAAAGGAGGTTTACTTACATTTTCATTGAACCTAAGTCCCATGAAGTCCCGTTCCAACGCACAACACACTTTGTCTTGTCTTTCCTCTCCTCCGAACGCTTTAAGCTGTAAATAATAGGGCGGAGGATGTATAAATCTTTGGGAATTCTGTGTGCCTCAGCTCAAAGCCATGCCGTTTGAACGTTATGTACCATTCTTCCAAGACTAGTTCTACCCTCTCCACAGGAAACACAGGATCTGATCCAAGTTCAAAGTCACGTCTGCCGACCTCTCAAAGAAGTTCTTTATTTCTCCAGAAAACCACAAAAACCTTTCCGCTTTTCAATGGGCAGGGAGAAGAAGAAAGAGAAATTAGACTGAGAGTGTAGTCGGCCTGGAACACACAGCCGCAGTTTTTGTTCTTCTTTTCTCATGTAGCAAGGAAGGGAAAAAGTTCGAAAAAGCTAAAACCAAACACACGAAAACACAGGGGAAAACAAATTTTGCTTTATATATATATATATATATATATATGCGCGTCACTGCCTAGATATTAACCCTGATTTTTTTCTCTACATGTGAAAGCAAAAAAAATCCCAAATAACCTTTAAATTACAATACATGAAGGACCATACCCCTATAGTTACATGAATTGTGACTTTCCATTAATGTGTAAGGCTCTTAGACAAAGCTACAAGGCATTTCTTTTAACTTTGACATTATCAATATGGTGACGCATTATTGGTTACTTTTAGTGACCTTGGGTATTCAAGGGTGTTTGACCTTCGACCCGTGGAGACCACATATGGTACCCTTTGAACTTGAACTGAAATCCTCACTGTTCAAAGATTATGCTTTATATATATATATATATATATATATATGCGCGTCACTGCCTAGATATTAACCCTGATTTTTTTCTCTACATGTGAAAGCAAAAAAAATCCCAAATAACCTTTAAATTACAATACATGAAGGACCATACCCCTATAGTTACATGAATTGTGACTTTCCATTAATGTGTAAGGCTCTTAGACAAAGCTACAAGGCATTTCTTTTAACGTTGACATTATCAATATGGTGACGCATTATTGGTTACTTTTAGTGACCTTGGGTATTCAAGGGTGTTTGACCTTCGACCCGTGGAGACCACATATGGTACCCTTTGAACTTGAACTGAAATCCTCACTGTTCAAAGATTATAATAAAACAAGCGCTGGCCTTCTCCCTCCGTTACGTCGTTTCATAAATAACAGGCAACGAAAATTCACATTTACTCACAAGCTGGTTTTAAACATTTATTGTTTATGACATTGTCATCATTAAGTTTTGTTGTAAGTGTAGCCTACTCAGCAATCAATACGACTGAATTATTTTTAAAGACACTCTTAAATAAGGTCTGTCCGTCCAACACAATTCAGAGGTAAACGTTGGGATGTCGTAAATCTCAATTAGAATGCATAGATTGTAATGCTTCTGTCACATTAACCGGCATACATCGTGGTTCCATTCATTCCAAATTAAGACCCTTGACAAAGCTGACAGGCATGATGGCTTATGCAGGAAATCCCAACACTTTTAGTTACTACAGGTGCAGGAGAGATACGCGAGGAGAGATACACATGCTTTATATATACATAAAAATAAGAAAATCTCATGAATGCTTTTTTTTCTTCAAGGTTTGATAAATTTGGGTATGCAGTTTTACCAGAAATGTCTGACCAATGAAATACATTTGTTTTAATCTGTATATTTTTAGTATTGTTAGAAAAGCATGTGACATCAACTTTGTAAGCAGAATTGTTATTTTTTTGTTGAGGTTTAAGGGTGGGGCTGTTTAACCTTCTGCTGTACTTTGGTAATTAGTTTTTTAAATAATTATTTGGAATATGGTTACAACTGCCCTGAAGCATTTTAAAAGATGTCTTTGAATTAAGACATATTAAATCAATGGCATACACTTCCTGCTGAGTTCAACATGGACTCTAAAAGGGCGTGGACGTGCTTCATGACACACACGTACAGCACACACAAACAAACATGAGATGAAATTATGTGAAAAGTAATGTTTCTTATACATTATTCTTAAAAAAAAAAACTTGGGGGGAAATTAGGATTTTTATATATATAACATTATAAAGAATCATGTCACAGAACGCTTTTGGAAAGATTATTGACAGATTTTTTTCTAAAATATGTCAAGGGTCGCTTCTTTTCTTCTGTACTTTCTGCGCAGGAATCTATCAGTTTCTGACAACGCCCATTGGACCGAAGATCTAATGTTCAAAATTGCATTTTTTTAAGCACAGATAACCCGTAAAAAAACATTTGTTGCATTTAAATGTAATCTTTAATTAAAAAATGCATGATAATGTTGATTATGTAAGATTATATTACGATAAACCCATCTGGATAAAGCAGGTTACTAGAAAGAATTCCATGAATGTAGGCTCTTGCAATTTCTGTTTATTAGGGCGTAAAGCCTAAACGTTTGTTTGGTTGAATAAAAACCACATGTACGATTTTGTTTTATGTATCTAATAATTTAGTTTTACCTATATGCCTGCATTGCAACAATTAGAAACAAATAAGTTTGGTATAGCATGCGTTTGTTTGTACTTGTAATTTTATTTCCAATGTCCCAATTTTATCCTTAGTCTGTTCTGTCTGTCAGCATAATGAAACGATTTATTTGACCGAAGAAAATTAATTTTATTTTTGCTGAATTCATGCTTGACAACGTTTTATTTATTTATTTAATTATATGATTTGAATTTAATTTCTAAATATATTTCAAACGATGTGTGGGGGTGTTGCACAATATGCTCCGCGTGTGTAGTGTCACTGTTTTGTGCAAAGAGAAAAACAACATCCTTCCACGTGTGTGTGCGTGCGTGTGTGTGTCTCGGTAAACAGATTTGCCTGTAACTTTGTGAGCACAACTTTCTGGAGTGAACAGTGATGAAGAGAGTGAGGGGGCGGAACCCCGCTGAGCCTCTGCGCTGAAAGACAGCCAATCGCTTCGTTCTCTTAACTGCCAGTCACCGAAATCTGTCCAATACCCGCAGTGCCATTTCTAAACTCTATTCCCCTCTGTGTCCTCCAACTGTTGTATGTTCTGCCAATCGCTTGAGGACAGAGTGGGAAAAGGAGCAAGCAGAGTTAGAGGCAGGACAAAAGAAGTTCTATAGACGGCCATATACATATATTTTAATGGTTTCAGAAGGCCCGTAGTTGGCGAAAACAATAGCGGTGAGCGTGGACATGACAGCGTAGTGATGGAGCCCCCTTTAAGCAAGAGGAATTCGGCGATAAGATTAGCGGATTTGGCATCGACTCAAGCCCTTCCTCATCAGAATATGACAGGCTTCCCGGGGATTGGGGGGCATCACCCGCACTCCCACCATGCCCACCTCCACCCTGGGGAGATGGGCAACGACCCCGGAGTGGCTCTCACTCCATTTGGACCCGAGCACATGGCACAGACCAATGCTCTCAAACTTAGTCCCTCTCAGCCTGTTCAAAGCCATCCCGAAGCCCAGACCGCGGCATCTTTCACGTCTCCTCAGACCACAGTTGGTTTCCCCGTGGCTCACCCCCACACAGGCTACACCACCAGCAGGGACTTCATCCTCAGGAGAGAGCTCTCAGCCTCTGCTATGCATGCACTTGGCGACCAGCATAGTTCCGCCTCCTCCCCTCATCACCATGGCATGTTCATTTCCCCAACAGGTGCTTACTCTTAACTGCCAGTCACCGAAATCTGTCCAATACCCGCAGTGCCATTTCTAAACTCTATTCCCCACTGTGTCCTCCAACTGTTGTATGTTCTGCCAATCGCTTGAGGACAGAGTGGGAAAAGGAGCAAGCAGAGTTAGAGGCAGGACAAAAGAAGTTCTATAGACGGCCATATACATATATTTTAATGGTTTCAGAAGGCCCGTAGTTGGCGAAAACAATAGCGGTGAGCGTGGACATGACAGCGTAGTGATGGAGCCCCCTTTCAGCAAGAGGAATTCGGCGATAAGATTAGCGGATTTGGCATCGACTCAAGCCTTTCCTCATCAGAATATGACAGGCTTCCCGGGGATACAGCCTCTGCTATGCATGCACTTGGCGACCAGCATAGTTCCGCCTCCTCCCCTCATCACCATGGCATGTTCATTTCCCCAACAGGTGCTTATGGGCACGCGGAAGGTGGTGCCCATCCACTTTACTCTGGACTGCACGAGCAAGCGGCCCCAGGTGCCCACCACCACCACCATGCCCTCAACGGGCAGATGCGTCTGGGTCTGCCGGGGGACATCTACGGCAGGCCAGAGCACTTCGGCCACAGGCCCGAGCACTATGGATCTTCTTCTCTGCACAGCTACAACTCCATGAACTTAAATGTGAACCTCGCCACGGCTCCTCACGGAGCCACAGGGGCGTTTTTGCGATACATGCGGCAGCCCATCAAGCAAGAGCTAATCTGCAAGTGGATTGACCAGGAGCAGACGTCCAAGAAGCCCTGCTTCAAAACTTTCAGCACCATGCACGAGCTCGTCAACCATGTCACGGTGGAGCACGTCGGGGGACCGGAGCAGAGCAGTCACGTCTGCTTCTGGGAAGAGTGTCCGCGCGAGGGAAAGGCGTTTAAAGCCAAGTACAAACTAATCAATCACATCCGCGTGCACACGGGCGAGAAGCCGTTCCCGTGCCCCTTTCCCGGTTGTGGCAAAGTATTCGCGCGCTCGGAAAATCTCAAGATTCACAAGAGGACGCACACAGGTTAGTGAAAAGTCGACCGATTCTTTGAAAAAACTTTAGTGGTCTGTTATTGAACGTGTTTGCACAACTTGGCAGGTAATCGAATTTTCTTGATATGTGGACTACCAAACGTTAGTTAGCCTACTATGGGGGAACAAAATCACTTTTTGTCCCCCGCCTCATGCACAAATATCCCCCATTCATACAGAAACAAGGTTAAGGAGGTTGTTTGTTTACAGTGCCTATTCGCCAAGCAAAAGTATCCCTTGGTGTCGCTAAGCGTCATGAACTTACTTCGAAAATTCAGCGAGAGATCAACGTGAATGTTGTTGCTGCTTGTACATATGGAAAAAGCACTTCCGACACTACGCTGCTATATAAGCAGACCAGTGTTTTTGCGTCTTTTTTCTTTGATGCATGCAATTTTATATCAAAGAGAGGTGCAAAAACGTTAGCGTGAAGACATCAGGCTGCAGTTGCATTTGAATGCTACGTGTTTAACGTAAAAAAATAAATAAAAAGCAAAACAGGGAAAGTACGAATTGTTTTATAGGCTGCAGGTAAAATAGTAACACGAAGTTTTCGGCACGTGTTTGTCTCCTTTAAAGCCACAGGGAATGACAAACAGTGTCTGAATAGATCCATACTAATGTAAATATGGAGAATGGGTCAGCCATGGGGCATTTACTACATTGTGATTAACCAAACTATGGTGATATCTTAGCAGAGCAAAGAAGGCCTCTACTTCTGATGTTCTTCTAATGTATTCTAACAAAATGATATGCGTGTGTGCTGTGCATGATATTTAATATTATGGTATTTAATAGATATAAAGCTCTTCCTCCAGTTAGCCTACTAAAATATGCACTCACGTGACCGTTTGTTATTGCAAGTTGTTAAAAAGTTGCAGGTATTGTTTAGGTTCTTTTACTGTATAGGCTATCTGTATCATGTTATGCTCACAACACGTGCTGACGTAAATTGCGCCCTGAATATGTAGGCTAGCGTGTCAAACCCACCTAGGGTACATTTATAAGGGTCGTGACATGGTGGTATCTTATGGTATCTTTTGTAACAAGTCCCGGGATGACAGTGAATCAGTGCAACGTGTAATGTAATTTTGATATGATTTGGATGTAAAGCCGGGTCAGTTCTTTTACTCCAAGCAACCTGATGCATATGGCGGGCCGAAATGTTTTCAGTACTTGACTCAGTTGCATATCCAGTAAAAATAATAATAATAAAAAAAAGAGTTTTGGCAAGCTTCAGTCAGAGAAAATGAGAGCGTTTACAGATTGGTTGCATAAGTCATGTGGTGCGCCTGAACATTCCATATGTAATAGCAGAAAATAAGTAGGCTACTGTGGGGTTACAGTGATAATGTTGCGATTTTCGAAACGAAACCATCCATTACCAGTGCAGCTATTATTTTCTTGTAAACAAGAAAATGTAAAATATGTATGGGTGATTTTTATGTCTAATTGCTCTGTTTTTTCTCCTTTGCCAGGTGAGAAGCCGTTCAAATGTGAGTTTGATGGCTGTGACAGGAAATTCGCCAACAGCAGTGACAGGAAGAAGCACTCTCACGTCCACACGAGCGATAAGCCTTACTTCTGTAAAGTGAAGGGTTGTGACAAGTCGTACACACACCCGAGCTCCCTGCGCAAACACATGAAGGTTCACTGCAAGTCTCCTCCGCCCCCTTCCGCCAACACGGGCTCCTCTTACCATCCCTCGTCCACGACGATCGGTGATGCCCTCTCACCAAACCTAGAGCCCCACAGGAACCGTTCGTCGAACCTTTCGCCTCAGGTGACCAACCTAAACGAATGGTACGTGTGCCAAGGGAGTGCTGGACCAAACAATCTACACACCCCCTCCAGCGATGTGCCAACGTCGGAATCCGACGACGAGGACTCTTTCAGACACACAGATCCAAGGGCAGTGCTCTGATGTGAACAGCAAGGAATACATTCATTATAAATGGTCCACATGAAAATAATAATAATAAAAAGAAAACATCAAATTCAAGGGTTGCAATTCGAAGAAGTGGAACACCTATGGATGTCAGTGGGTGAAGAGAACTTGCCACATGAAAATCGACTTGTACATTTTTTAAGATTTTACCTGACTTTTCGAGATAAAATAACTTGAGCTCAAAAGATTTATCAATTATGTTTAGGCTGTTTTTTTAATATTATACACCCCTTTTGTTGCACATAAATCTTTTTATAGAGAATCGTTTTACACGTTAAATGTCCGAGGGGCAAAAATCGCAGTGACAATAATTTTAAGTTTTTACTTGTATATTGTCAGTGTCAAAAAAATGAATGGGTGGAGTCTTTGTTAAAGTTTATACACTAACTGTGGTCAGGACGGTTTTTGTGATATTTAAAATATTTAAACCTGTATTTTATGCAAAATCAATGTAACTCTGATTAAAGAGTACGAAATATGTCCACTGAGACCCTAAATCGTTGACAGGCCTATCCCTGACTGATTTGTAAATAGTATATGGTATTGATGCTTGTGGATGTTTTCGTAGCGTTTCAACAAGTTTTGTACATTGTAATTTATTTGCTGGTATTAATGTTGGTCTGGAAGTACAGATACACCAAAGAATAATATAATTTTGGTGAAAAGAAGTGATGCTTTTTATCGTGTTCTGTAAAAAGGTCTTACTTGAATAGGCTGTATAATGTGAAGAATCTTTCGCATGAACCGTGTAGTAACTCTTTCTGTTGAGGTGCATGATGGTGTTGATGGAAAAAAAACGTAAGAAGGTCGTGAAGAAATTTGATGTTTGTGTATAGATATATGGAAAACTTGAATAAAAGGCAGGACGTGTAAATATGGTCTTTTCAGTAAAAAAAAAGGCCTTGATTCATTCTTTGATGTGTGCGTATTTCATGTAAAATTCAGCAGATTTCCAAGTTATGGTTTAAACTAATTATCCAATGAATATCACTGTTGCGGTAAGAAGTAATGCTTAATTTTCTGTAAAAGTCGGGACAGTAAAGCTAACCAAACGAAACAGCAAAGTTCTACAAAACACTTTCTAAACATTTTTTTTTCTTGATTTTCTCCTGAATGAAAATATTCCTTGGCCATTCAGTATTATTTCAAAAGGGAACCATCACCTAACTAATAGTGCACGTTATGAAAAGTAGAATAGCACAAAGCCAACAATGCATGAATCATTCATGGGAATATAAAACATAAAAGCTGCCCGACAATAAGAAAGTTGTATGGAGAATATGAAACAAAGTCCCCCGTCTTATTTCCTTCATGAAAACGCACAATAACAGTTTCAAAGTGCCCCTGTCCCAGACTATAGATTCAGAATTGACCAGCGCAAGTCCTGCACCACTTCAAAGAGCTCCACAACAGAACGGAAGACTGCACGGTGCGTTCGGATTTCTATGGGTCCCATTTGAATATTTATGGTAGAAAAACTACTAACTGCCGCTAGCTAAATGGTCAATCATCAAAGCAGAAACCTCTCCCACGAACCGTCTTGTGCCTTAAAATCGGCGTGTTCGACATTTTATATCAGCGCAGATGCAGGCATCCTGGACATTTCATATGGCTGGTGGAAAATGTGTGTGAAGAAAGTTCTAAAACGTCTCCTAAGAAAGTTTGATTTCGATTTTCATGCTAATGAACATCACTCTAAACCCTATGGAATAAAGCAAACAAGTTGGTGACTCGTTAGAGATTGTAAATCTTGCGTTTTGTGTCAGTGAAACGCCCCATAAATAGTGTGAAGTTCAAGGGCGCTTCATAAAGCGCGTGTGTGTTTACCGGACACTGGAAAAAGGCCACTTCAATTGGAAACACTCTATTAAGATACAGTCGCACTGACCTTTAGTTTCATGCTACGTTAGAGCAGTCAATTCGCTCTTCATCGGAATCGCTCATATTTTTGTTCCCAAATCTTTGAAATCCCTCTTGCGCATTAACGTTTAATTCGGAAATAAGCGCGCGCTCTGCCCATCTTTTGTCCACGAACTATTATTTGCTCAAGGAAAGAATGATCTTCTATTTATTTAAAACAAGTGCCCTTTGAATAGTGCAAAATAAACACGGCGAAAAATAACCAAAGAGATAGTCCCCTCGGACTGAAAAGGGGGGACTTCATAAAAGCTGCAGCAGTCACAGCTGAATGCGAGACGCTTTGAAGTAGAACTTATTATCTGAGGAATACTTTTCGGTCGTCCTAACGACGCTATTGAATCGAAAAGCTACCCCCTTTGTCAGCGATTTGTTCTCCTTTAGTGCAATGCCCGTGGAAATCACTTACATGGTCTACCTTAACATGCAGCCTGCAAATCAGTAACTCCAAGAGTCAGACTCTCAGACGCCACTTTTCAAAAGACAATGCAGAAGTCAGTGTGAAAACGCAGTGAGTTCTCTCCCGTTTTGCCTTTATTGGACAGAATGATCACATCAGAGGAGGCTGTTTTCTACAGTCTAGTCAGATTTCACACCGTCAGCTTCTCATTATGCGTTTGACGAGGGTTCAAAGTACCCGAATCATTGTGCACCCTGTTTTAAGCGACGCACCAAGAGCATGTGAAGCACTTGCAATGAAAAGAGAACATTACATGTTGCCATACTTTCTCCATTTGCAAAAGTGCGCTTCACACTTTATCTGTTTGAACGTCACACATACACTCTTAAAAATAAAGGTGCTTCACGATGCCATAGATTCGAAGAACCATTTTGTCTAAATGGTTCCATAAAGAACCTTTAACATCTGAAGAACCTTTCTGTTTCACAAAAGGTTCTTTGTGGCGAAAGAAAGGTTTTTCATGTTACAAAAAGGTAAGAAAGAGATAGTTCTTTAAAGAACCTTTGACTGAATGGTTATCTGTGGAACCAAGAATGGTTCTTCTATGGCATGGCTTAAAGAACCTTTTGAAGCGCCTTTATTTTTAAGAGTGTATGTTCAACTCACACTGCCAGATTTCATCTGCGAGCTTGCAAAGACTCCGAGGTAAATTACGGCACTAATGGAATATTTGCAATGGTGTTTGAGTGTCTGTAGGGAGGGAGAGAGAGACAAGTGCAATAAATATTAAATGACACAAATATAATTCCAAAATCGTATTAAATGAATTGCGCATGATTGTTACAATTTCTCTTTTAGTTTGGTCAACCTCCAAGCTAAGGATAATTAAAGTTGTACACTTGTCAACCCGGTGTAAGATTAAATCAAATTTTTTTTTTAATCAGCGTAAAAAAAGGATCTGATGCTTTCTTGTTTAAACTATCCTAAATATTATGAAATACAATTATAATCAAATTTTAAGTTAATTAAATAAAACCATAACTGAGCATAACATTTTATTCATTAAAACGATGTGACCTTTTATCAATTATTTTGCTATTTAAACTTAACTTTAAGTCACATTATTAAATCAAAATAGAGACATTGTTAAAATATTAGTCTAGCATAAAAAAATCCTTAAATGTTTTGTCATTCGGACTCTTTAAAGACAGCTACGAAAGACAAACGGTGCACGAATAAACATTTTAAAAGAACCCAACTAAATTCTTCTCCAAACCATTTCAAAATAATAACAACTTGAAGTATGCGAGGTATTATAAACATCCGTTGAGTGTTTTACCACAGTATGCTTTGAAGACCAAGAAAACTGGGCACATATTCATCCTCCAGGCACTCTGCCAAACTCTTCCAAGCACCCTACCTGCCTACTATCTTAAGTTTCCCGAATAAGCGAGAAAACACAATCCAGTTGCAGCTGCACGGCTGCATGTTTCCTCCCTGCACTCCGAGACTGAACTCTAAAACACGGACAAGAAAACTTTTGACGCATGGGCGAAAACTCATTGGGTGTTTATACAGTGCAACGTGAGTACATGTTTTATGAGCTCAACTCTGAAGAACAAAGCTTGCTGCATGCTTTTATCGTTGTAACTAAGAGTCGTTTAGCGCACTTATTGATTAGGTGTTGTGCTTGTTCTTCGAGCATGCGCCTAAAGAAGAGGCTGTTGAGAAAGTTTGCCGTCCCATTAAGTTAGAGGCCGGATGAGTAGTTGTTTGCTATTTGCTCTGAAAGCTCGAGCCCGACTCAGACAGCTGTGAGTTCACCTATTAGCCCCGATGTCTTTCCCAAAAGATTGCTTGAGTTAAACATCTGACAATGAGCGCTCAGGGGTGCCGCTCGCCTGAACTCCACTCGCTTTTAATAGTTTCATAGGAACTTCATTAAATCAATTACTCCACGATCACATCATCATTTATTTGTACTTATCGCTCAAAACATTCTTTGCTAACACTTTCATGAAGAAGTCATTAACAAACACTATCACAAAACTCTTTAGAGGTCAGCTAGCTAAATACAAATTTTAAAATGCATGAATCAAAGTTGGAGACATTCTAATGATTTGTTTGGCAATAGAATGATGTTTGTTACCTAAAGAAGAGGCTGTTGAGAAAGTTTGCCGTCCCATTAAGTTAGAGGCCGGATGAGTAGTTGTTTGCTATTTGCTCTGAAAGCTCGAGCCCGACTCAGACAGCTGTGAGTTCACCTATTAGCCCCGATGTCTTTCCCAAAAGATTGCTTGAGTTAAACATCTGACAATGAGCGCTCAGGGGTGCCGCTCGCCTGAACTCCACTCGCTTTTAATAGTTTCATAGGAACTTCATTAAATCAATTACTCCACGATCACATCATCATTTATTTGTACTTATCGCTCAAAACATTCTTTGCTAACACTTTCATGAAGAAGTCATTAACAAACACTATCACAAAACTCTTTACAGGTCAGCTAGCTAAATACAAATTTAAAAATGCATGAATCAAAGTTGGAGACATTCTAATGATTTGTTTCGCAATAGAATGATGTTTGTTAATATTATATTCATATAATTAAAATTATTATAACGTGTTACACATTTTTGCGACAGCATAATTAGCCTACATGCCTTTTTAAGAGCCTGTGTTAAATTTTATTTTTTAGAGTTTGTAAGCTCTGTAATGCATGATTTGTTTGCTACATTCAGGACATTTACTTTCACGGTTAAGATTTAAAGTTTCCTGTGTCCCATTTAGATTTTGTGTAGCTCTCGTAACATTGTCTTTGAATTAGTGAGATATGCATGCCCGGTTTTACTAGGAACATGTCTTGATATTCCGGTAAATTTAATCAAAAAGTATAATTTTAGATTAACCAGCAGGAAAGTATCAATGTGAACTGACTGCAAAGGTTTGTTTTAAAAATACATATTGTAAGAAATTAGTCAATACTTGTATCTTAATGTAGTTTATATATATATATATAAAAATATGTGTAAGTAAACTGACAGCCATGTATAGTAAAGAAAATAGTTATCTGGTGATTGCATTACCTTGGGTAGTGATATTAGTGACATTACTGCTCATGCAATTTTTTATTTATTTATTTATTTTTTACAGTGTTTACTGTTTATCTTGTGGGCACATCATGTGTAAAGGAAAAAAATTAATATATATTTAAAAAATCTTGATAAAATACAAGATAAAATTTGAAATTAAACCTCAGCATATGCACCACAGAGTTGAACCCTTTCATCCTTAGCACATATGAATCATCTTGCCTGTCTGCATGAGACAACTGTCATAATATCTGGCCTCTCCTTAACATCTGTGGGCCTCCAAACTTGGTGCTGGTCCAAATATGGATCCCCAGGATTGGGAGGCTTTCCAAGGCACTTGGTGATGAGAGCAAGGTCGTCCACGGACATGTCCAGGAGCCAGAGCTCTACAAAAAAAAGTTTATTTAAAAAAAAAAAAAAAAAAATGTCTTTTTCAGTCTTCTTTAACGAGGAGAGTGGACACAGTTAATGTAAAACTACTTT